TTAAGTTGTCATACATTCATTCATTATCTTATCGAAATAATGTTCTGTTGATTCATCACCATACCATCATTTCTGAGGGGATATTGAGATAAAACATGAATGTACTCATATGTGAATTGTAGCTAAATTACTTTTAATATTTATTAATTACTGTATTTTCAAAAAGAATATTTAAATTTAATGAAATATAAATTAGTGAAGAAGAAAAACTATATTCAAAAATACCATTCTAAAATTAAATAGTGTCTAGGTAGGAAATATTTCTTTTGTACTGTCCAGTGTCCAGGTGTGAAGTAATTGTTGGAAAGAAAGCTAAAGAAAAGGAAGAAAATGTGCTTGTGGTGGAAGATATAGAGAGAGATGGATGTGGGAGCCAAGTCTCCAGTGATTTAAATATCCAAAATTGAAAATTAACATTCAGAATACATATAAATATTGAATATAAAGAGACATAAAGAAAGAAGAAAATCACTATTCAACAAAATTGGTAATATCAACCTCAATTAACACTTAAAAAAACTCATCATCAATTTCCAACCACCACATTGTGAATTTACTAAATTCAAGTGACTTTCAAATTAAGAACTTATAGCCTAAATTTTTTTATTCTCATTATTAGCCTATCTCATATTATTTAGCCTACTTTAGTACTGTATAAATTAAGTTAATTAGCCTATCAGAATGTCATACCCGGCACGAACCAACCCCTAGATTAAGATAATTTGCTCTCCAAATTGTTAACTAGCCTAGCCCAATGAGATTGTTAATAGCTATAGAACCTAAATATATTTTATTGTAACTTTATGGGAATTTTATTATCTAATTTAAGTAAATTCATATTTTGAAATTCATTAATAAAGAGGAGTAGGTTGCAAAATAAAACAAAGAATTATTTTGTAAGAAATATTGCACATACCGTACTGAAAAATTAACTTTGGTTAGGCCTACTTGTTATTGGACATGAAGTCCCGCATTGTCATTTGCTGCAGTTTAGTAAGTCTGTTTTTTGCCGCGTAGTTCCGCCATTTTCTCATGAACATCACGTCTGCAGGCGTGGCAGTAGACTGTTGTTCTAAGTAGCGAAGGGCAAGGTCAAGCGCTGCAGCTGCCTCATTGTGAGTCACTTTCTCCTCTCCTCCCCCGCCCCCTGGCTCGTCATCACTACCCTCCCCCTCGTCTCCCTGAACATGATCTTGCGTCACTGCTGCTACGATGTCATCGTCAGTCAGAGTCTCTGCACTAGTACCGTCTGCCGCCATCCATTCATCCACGTCCTCTTCTTCCGCGTTTTCACAACCGGGAATGTTTCGAATCATTGGTAATAAGTTAACTGGGTCATTTTCGGTAGGGGTTTCTTCAAAATCTAACGATTTCCACAACTTTTTCCACGATTTTCTTATCGCCCCAGTTGTCACATTTTCCCAAGATTCAGCTGCCCAATACACAACATCCTTTACGTTCGTTTGTTTAATTTTTTGAACCAAGGGAATTGTATCATCTTCAATTAGGGACTTTAAAAAGTGTTTGCGATACTTAAGCTTCAGAGCCTGCAAAACCCCCTGGTCCATTGGTTGCAATAATGGCGTCACATTTGGAGGTAAAAAGGCTGCCTTTATTTCGCCACATGTTAGTTCGTCGACATCTGGGTGGGACGGTGCATTATCTAGCAAAAGAATAGCACGTGGGGGAATGTCATTTTCTTGGCTAAACCGTTTAACAGATGGTACGAATTGGTCATGGAACCATTCTTTAAACAGTTTCCCGTCCATCCAGCCTCTCTTCTGGTTCCTGTAATACACTGGAAGTGACTTCATGTTTATATGCTTGAAGGCTCGAGGCTTAGCAGCTTTGCCTATCATCATAAGAGGAAGCTTATGGTTACCAGCAGCATTGGAACAAGCCATAATGGTTACTCGGTCCTTACACATTTTAAAACCAGGAGCACGACTTTCTGATTTAGAGGCCAAGCTTTTAGTTGGCAGTGCTCTAAAATTTAGGCCGGTTTCGTCGGCGTTATATATCTGTTGGGGGGAATAATTTCCTTCGCTTATTAAATTGTCAAATGAAGCAAGGTATTCCTGCGCTGCAGCCTGATCTGAGGAAAGTTGTTCACCGGTGACAGTTAGCTGCCGAATACCATGACGTTTTTTCCACCGGTCAAACCAACCGGTGCTGGCTGTGAAGGAACTGTCGCCATTTAACAGATTGTTCAACTGAATTGCCTTTTCTTGAACGATAGGTCCACTTAAAGGGGTTCCCCTTTCCCTTTCTTGCGAGAACCACAGAAAAAGCGCTTCGTCAACTTTATCATACTGCGACTGTCGCGCCGTTTGCCGATTTTCAAGGGTTACCTCTGAAGACGTTGTGCAATATTGTTGAAGTTTCGCACGGTTTTTTTTCCAGTCGCAAATTGTAGCTTTGCCAACGTTCAGCTCTTTCGCTAGTTTAGTCACACTTTCACCATTATCCAAACGTTTTAAAGTTTCCAGCTTATCTTTAAGAGTCAAAGTGTTATGTTTACGTTTGTTAGACATTGCACTTATCACACTAAAAACCCGTACACACGCAAATCCACAGGTGACTGACCGCACTACGTAAACAAAAGCAGACTAGATCAAGGTGTTGTTGTGTTGCGATTCTGACAATTAAGCTAGGTGTATTGGTGAGGGGAGGGGGGCAGAACGGGGCAGACGTGTAGGCTACTGTGTACAGTCTCGGTAAGCAGTGCGTGCAGACGTACAGTCCGCACGCATTATCGTCACATCATACACGTCTGCCCACCCGTTCATATCGCTCTACGCTAGTTGATTGTTGACACGCTAGATATTGCACAACTGATGCGCTTATTTAAGTTTAACTGTTGTTTTTTTAATTTTGTTGTAGTAAATGGACTATTAAAATTGGTTTTTGTGTATTGCTCGTTCATATTACGACACTACGACCCCTTAAAATTGCTTCCATCTTGATTATTTACGTTATTTCGGCTAATCCGAACAATCAGCTAATCCGAACGGGGTTCGGTCCCAATTAGTTCGGATTAGCCGGACTGCACTGTATATATATAGACTTTTATATATATATATATCTATATATATATATATATCTATATATATATATATATATATATATACGTCCGTGAACGCGATAACTTGAGTAATTTTTGTCCGATTTTGATGAAATTTGGTTTAAAGGTGTAAAGCGGGATAAACTTGAATGAGTTCGCGAACGAGCATGATCGGACCATGGGAACAAGGCTTTACGGAGGGTTTTATGGGGTAAAAATTGGTTTTTCTCAACACAAAATTTCCCAATTTCTCTTTAGACCTTTTTAAAGAGCTTAAAAAAACAATTAATTTAGTATGTAAAAGTATTTTTGTTCGGTTAAAAGTAACGGAGAAAATTAAAAAATCGTAAATTTAAAATTCCCATGTTATTCTTATGGAGAATATTGTCAAATGTTGTAGTTTTCTTCTTTATGGATATATTTTGTATTTTGATCAAATTTATTTATTTTGTACTAAGCTATCAATATTTTACAAAAAAACACACTTTATTAGTTTCCTTGTAGCAGCAAACCTAGGTACTCGTTAAACCTAATGTTATTAAAATATATTTAATTGAAAATCAATTAAGACAAATGGAAATTCGCTTAGTCGGCAGGTTTGCTGCGGCTGGGGTATTATTACTTATCTGTCAATACCCTATGCTGTGATACAGCACCTACCGGTAGCCTATCCGTCTATCATGAGCAGTAGCTTATAACACTTTCTATAGGTTCCTTTAATATTTACGTCAGCAATGAAGTGTTTGGCTAGTTATTAGTTGAATTTGAGTTGGCTATTATTTTAAGTGTTGCCGTTTTTACAACTGAACCAAGATAAACCAATGATTTGAAATGTACAATATGTTATTGCACAATAATAATGATTGTGCAATATTGAATTTTGTTTATAAAAACGCAAATCGTGACATTTATGGCTGTTTATAGTGTTTTAATGGGTTTGTCATCTATGTTTATATAATATTGGATTAACCGTATTTTTCATTACCCCATTACCCCCCGCCCCCTCCTATTAACTCAGGTAATCGAGTATCTACACAACAGTGTAAAGTATTGTAGCCTATGCTACTTGATTGTATTTTAACGAGCTTTATGTCAACAAAGTGTCCTGTGCTAAGTCGCGATTTTAACGAGCTTTATGTCAACAAAGTGTCCTGTGCTAAGTCGCGGTGTAGCTGGACGTGTCTGTACCACGCGTTATCTTTTATCTATCACAACAGTTGAGCCATTCCGTGCCCTCTTAGATCTCACGTCTGGCTAATCTTGAATAATAACTTCCTACACGAATCCTAAACTATCCAAATCCTATTTTAACTAATTGAATTCAATAACATAACTTACTTACTTACTTACTGCCGTGGCTCTTGGTACCCAAGGTGGTACTTTGCCTCGTCAACACACTGCCTCCAGATTTTTCTATCCGTTGCCTTCTATCCTAACATAACTATTGTCATTAATTAATCGACTTTCTATCTGGCGACTTCGTAATATATTTTGATTGTCGTCACGTTGAACACTGTTGCAATTTACTTTAGCCACCCCCCCCCCCCCCCAATTTGAATTTTTGCAACCGCCGCCCCCAAGAAGCTCAATGACTCAGTCTGCGTCACAGCCCCCCCTTGCTGATGTACTGTTGAAGAAGGTGATGGATTATTGGGTGTTCTGGGCCATCAGAAGCCGTACCAACTGAAGTTCACTGTATTAGGTTACCAGTACTGAACTTGTACATGTACACTACTAAAATCATGTGATGTATGTACAGTTAGTAATAGCCCAACAGAAAGCCTCTGATTAGAGGAGCGAAACCTTTCAACAACCAGTCTGCTCCCTACAACATTACCACACTCCACCAAATTTCTGTACTGTACCACTAAAATGTAGTATGTACTTGTGTGCTACCTGTTAATACTAATGATCACTACAGTAGGCCAGTACTCACCACTTGAGGGTGCTCTGACTGTGGAGGGTGTTCAGGTTCCTCATCCTCAGGCTCATAATGGTGGGACTCCTGATCCGGGTCATCATCACCAAACACCAAATCCTGCAAACGTCCAGTTTGCTATAGTAAACTTGAAAACTAACTTATTAATCCCAACTTACTATACTATGCTTGCAAATCAAAATCCTAAATTATTTTGAGTGAACATTGAAATAAAATTTATGTCACAGGCTAGTTAAATCCTATCTTACAAACACTGTGTGGTATATAATAATTAGCTTTAATACTTTCCCTGCCAAGTAACTCACTTACGACATATAGCTTGTCTGATTAAAATAAATTATAAATAATGCAATATTTTAAGTTATTAGTCACAAACCTTTTCAAAGTGCAAATTAATGTTATGATTATAGAGTAAAATATATGACGTAGGCTAAACACAAAAGATGATGATGCAAAAAAAATGAGCTAAAACAATTTTTACTCATTGTAGCAAATTTCCCAAGCTACTACCATAGTACCCATTTAATTTGGCCAAAAACACCAACCGTTCAAATTCATATATATATACATATGTGTGTCCGTTAGCACGATAACTCAAGCAAAAATGATCCGATTTTGATGAAATTTGGTATAAACGTGTAAACCTACATTTATTTGAATGAGTTCGCGAACCAGCATGATTAGACCATAGGAACAGGATTTTAAGGGGTAAAAATTGGGTTTTCTCATTTTTGACCCTAAAAACATAAAATTTTACAATTTCTTTTACCCCATAAAACCCACCGTAAAACCCCGTTCCCATGGCCTCATCATGCTGGTTCGCGAACTTATTCAAGTTTATCCCGCCTTACACATTCAAACCAAATTTCATCAAAATCGGACAAAAATTACTCAAGTTATCGTGTTTACGGACACACATATACACATATATGAAAATTTGAACGAATTGTGTTTTTGGCCTCTGGGGACATCAAAATGAAAAAGTAAATCAGCACCGGGCATAGGTCTTACCATGAGACTTACGGTAATAGCTACTTCCCTATAGGGAAATTCGCTAAAAGACAACATTTTCTGAAGTTACACAAGTCTATGACTTAGAAAAAATAATAAATAACTATTTAAATAATAATAGATTCAAATTGCAACTGCCATTGCCATTCCTCCAATCTCCAGTGGTTGAAAAAGTGGTCAGTGACCACGAAAATTTCTACTTTTAATTTTGTGATGTTTTATGTGTCTCTATGGACTTATTTAAAGGTAAGCCTGCTTTCCTATCAATTTCCTTAATAATTCCTGGCAAATGCCCTATCTTTTTATAAGATATATTTAAATAATAATTTTCCTTAATTTAACAGAATACTAGTCTCATTACTTGATAGCGGAAAATATCGTTGTGAACGTAATACTGTTTGGGTGACTGGGCTCCCAAAACAAAGGTTTGGGTGAAACGCCTCATCGGTTGTCCTCCGTTGCTCAGCTCTCCAGTAACCTGTAAAAAGTAACTAAATAGTCATATAATTTTCTTACTTGATGATGATGCCCTTTATTGATCGAAAGGCCTACCACCAACGACTATGAATGCTGAACTACATATCCAATATGATATGGACCAGTGGTTTCTACTAGTTTTTATACTCAAAGAGAGCGTGGTTTAAGAAGTCTCTCATATAGTTTGCTGCTTTTAGTTTTAATTTAACTATGATAGTTTGTATACGGTATTTATTAGCCTAAGTTGTTGTAATATGGCAGTGAGCAAAGCTTACCTGAACCACCACACCGTTGCCCAGAGTAGCCTGGGAGTCAACCTGTGTGATCTTTGCATGACAATCACGGAAGTTGAGTTGTTGGATGCATTGGTGGATCTGCTTCTGTCCCACAGCTGGCTTGCCTTCACGATTGAACACATCCAAGCCCCCATGTACAAATGAAGAGTTGTTGTTGTAGAACCTGTCAAAAACCAAAAATTTCTGCACTAGAGTAGTGGTAGCTTGAACACTCTTAACAATTAAAAATATAAACGAGAATGTAAAAGTTTTTTTTTTTATAAAATGTTTTATAGTACCTATAGGATGAATAAATACATTTGCCAAATTTGATCAAGATATCCATACTTTGATATGAATTGTGTATTGTGAATTGTACAAATTGTGGATAATTATAGGGATGCACTGTGGATGCGATGCTACCTGGTGTGGATTAACGTCCGCACTAGTGAGTACTACGACTATCCACAGTACTATCCTAATAATTAGACCAATTCGTTAATTACGAGGAAAAAATGTGGTTCGGATTCCACAATAAACTGTAGGTCCCTTAGTTGCCATTAGCTGTATGGGCTATTAATTAACAGCTGTGTCTAAGGAACATGTCGGCCTAAGTCATTAACAAGACTACAAGATCGCGCCACTCATCCTTCACTCATATTTGGTTTAAAATACGCACATAGTGGCGTCCCCATCTTAAATAATTGATTGATGAGTAGTGTTTGCACACAATGATTTCAAAAACGGCTCCTATGATTTTCCTCAAAATTGTTAAAATTGTCTGAGTTTTAGGCTAAAAACGATATCCATACTAGGCTCTGTTCTGGGAAAATTTCTTTTCCGTTAAAAAATAAAATGAAATTTTAATATTTTTAACATTTAGTCTTATGGACTGTCAATAGCTATGGCAGTTTTACTAAAATTTAAGCAAATAAAATGTAACATATGCTTGTAACAAATCATCTACAGTATAGAAGCAAATTACAAAATACATTACAAAGGAAAAGATCATTCCTATGAATGTTATTGAGTATTGATTATATATAATACATTTGGGGTGTATGATGTATTACTAACCAAAGGGATAATTACGACTGATCAAAAACATTAAGTCTTTTACCGCAAAACAGTATACACTAATATTGAACTAAAAGTCTAGAGGGAGGAATGCCATGGACGTTTTGTAGATTTCGAGGGTGCGCTGCCGGAATTTATGCTTTGTTTCACGATCCCATAATTAGTTAAGTTGCGATGTTCCGCGATCCCAGTGACTAACGCAATAACTTTCTTATAATAACTTTTTATTAGTGATGGTCGGATCCGGATATCGGAACACCGTATCCGCCGGATCCGAGCTAAAACTGGCACCGGATCGGATCCAAAAAACTCCGGATCTTGGGCTGGATCCGGTTTTGATGGATCCGATTTTTTGAAATTTTTTCCCTATTTTTTCCTAACACAAAGCTGTCTGTATCACTGCACAACCCCGATTTTTTTACCAACACAAAGCAGTCTGTATCACTGTACAACCCCGATTTGTTTACTAACATAAATCTGTCTGTATCACTGTACAACCCCGATTTTTTTACTAACAAAAAGCTGTCTGTATCACTGTACAACCACGATTTTTTTAATAGCATAAAGCTGCCTGTATCACTGTACAACCCCAATTGTTTACCAACATTAAGCTGTCTGTATCCATGTAAGAGACCGATTTCCCCCCGATTTGTTTACTAACACAAAGCTGTCTGTATCCATGTACAAGACCGTTTTTCCCCCGAGTGTTTGTCTCTTGATGCAAATAACTTATATGGCAAGGCCATGACTCAGTGTTTGTCTTTTGATGCAAATAACTTATATGGCTAGGCCATGTCTCGATGTTTGTATCTATATGCAAATAACTTGTATGGCTAGGCCATGTCGTGATGTTTGTATCTATATGCAAATAACTTATATGGCTAGGCCATGTCGCGATGTTTGTCTCTAGATGCAAATAACTTATATGGCTAGGCCATGTCTCGATGTTTGTCTCTAGATGCAAATAACTTATATGGCTATTCCATGTCTCGATGTTTGTCTCTAGATGCAAATAACTTATATGGCTAGACCATGTCTCGATGTTTGTCTCTAGATGCAAATAACTTATATGGCTATTCTATGTCTCGATGACTGTCTCTAGATGCAAATAACTTATATGGCTAGGCCATGTCTCGATGTTTGTATCTATATGCAAATAACTTATATGGCTAGGCCATGTCACGATGTTCGTCTCTAGATGAAAATAACTTATATGGCTAGGCCATGTCTCGATGTTTGTCTCTAGATGCAAATAACTTATATGGCTATTCCATGTCTCGATGTTTGTCTCTAGATGCAAATAACTTATATGGCTAGGCCATTCCTCGATGTTTGTCTCTAGATGCAAATAACTTATATGCTAGGCCATGTCTCGATGTTTGTCTCTAGATGCAAATAACTTATATGGCTAGGCCATGTCTCGATGGTTGTCTCTAGATGCAAATAACTTGTATGGCAAGGCCATGTCTCGATGTTTGTCTCTAGATGCAAATAACTTGTATGGCAAGGCCATGTCTCGATGTTTGTCTCTAGATGCAAATAACTTATATGGCTAGGCCATGTCTCGATGTTTGTATCTATATGCAAATAACTTATATGGCTAGGCCATGTCACGATGTTTGTCTCTAGATGAAAATAACTTATATGGCTAGGCCATGTCTCGATGTTTGTCTCTAGATGAAAATAACTAATATGGCTATTCCATGTCTCGATGTTTGTCTCTAGATGCAAATAACTTATATGGCTAGGCCATTCCTTGATGTTTGTCTCTAGATGCAAATAACTTATATGGCTAGGCCATGTCTCGATGTTTGTCTCTAGATGCAAATAACTTGTATGGCAAGGCCATGTCTCGATGTTTGTCTCTAGATGCAAATAACTTGTATGGCAAGGCCATGTCTCGATGTTTGTCTCTAGATGCAAATAACTCATATGGCACGGCCATGACTCAGTGTTTGTCTCTTGATGCAAATAACTTATATGGCAAGGCCATGTCTCAGTGTTTGTCTCTTGATGCAAATAACTTATATGGCAAGGCCATGACTCAGTGTTTGACTTTTGATGCAAATAAGTTATATGGCAAGGCCATGACTCAGTGTTTGTCTTTTGATGCAAATAACTTATATGGCAAGGCCATGACTCAGTGTTTGTCTCTTGATCTAAATAACTTATATGGCAAAGCCATTTCTCAATTGAATTTGAAACAGTATGATTTAAATTGGAATTCTGTTAATTAGGTTTTTTTACCCGCCCTTATGACAGTGTGAAGATCCGGATCCGAATTTTTTAAGATCCGGATCCGGTACCGACATTTTCTTGGATCCGCCCATCACTACTTTTTATATTGAAGTTTATTGTAGAAATTTTCAATATAGATTGCCACATGAAAAAGTTTGTTAGGTAAATTAAGAATGAGTGAATGTCTATCGAAAACGAATTGTCTTTACAACTTAATTAATCGCACAACTGATTTATGAAAATTGGACATTTCCATAGTTTAAAGATAAAAATATGAGAAAACAGTTTTTGAACAACTTTATAACCCCATAACTGGTCTTGCTGGTTCATGAACAAGTTTGAACAGCTCTACGCATTCATACCAAATTTCACCAAAATCAGACCAAAATTACAAGTCTTATCATGTGGTTAGTCTCATCTATTTATAAACCCCAATGCATGTTTTGTTTGTCCTTTATGCATTACCAAACCGGCCATCTAATCGTGATGAAACTTTGGGAAGTTCCCATTCCTGTTCTTGAACTCCCACGGACTGCTCAAAGAGTTTTTCATGTTTACCTTATGTGAAATCATATTTAAAAAGAATTTATGCATTTTGACAGTTTTTTCAAATAATAAACGAAGAAGTTGGGTTCTATGATCTACAATAGCATTAAAAAGTTACAAGCTTTAATAACAGAGTGTAGCACAAATTTTCTTTGTTCTCCCCGTTGCAAAGAATGGGTACAGCAGCTAGACCAAATAAAACCTGTGACTTAATTAAAAACGTTGAAAATTTCTTATTCTATACATTCAGTGTTAGTTCTACCTGTTACCACTACTGGCCAATATAAAGTAAAATAGTGATCGTTATCATTAAAAAATTAATACAGGGTGAAATTAAAGCAAACCTGCTACTCCCGATTCCCAATAGATTTTGATCAAGAAAGAGATAAAATCACAACAGCTAATCAGATGTCATGTTTAAATGTTTGTTCTTGTCAAAACAAACTTTTCTAGATCTATTTTTATAACATCAAGACGAAATGTTTTTAAATATATCAGAGAACATTATGTCACAAAATAAAGTTTGTATGTTACTTAATCCTACTTTAAGATAGCCTATCTAACAATGTTCAATAAAGTTATGAAAATAATGTAAACTGTACTATTGGCAAATTTGGTTTAACACTTTAACTGCTTAAAACAACGTGCAGGCACTCCCCAGTGGCAGGCGAAGCCCACAACTGAAATATTTGAGAATCAGGAAATGCAATTGGCATTCAAATATTTCAGTCTGACAAAACACAAAAGGGCAGTGGTGATTGTACTGCGTTATCCCGAGAGTGTTCACTGAAACCCCTAAAGGTAACAGCACTGCCTGGATCCGTAGCCAGTGTCTTTGTAATGTGAGTCCAAGAGAGAAAATCCCCGAAACCGAGACAAATGCGCCAACCTACACCAAAATAAAGCATGCATTCTAAGCTACAGGCTGGCAACGATTATAACGTTCTCCGTCTGAGGCTAAGGCCACACTGACTCAATATATTTCAGTTGGTTTGGTGCCGACTTTTATCGGCAAGCGTCACATTTAAGCGCAGTCAACCTGTTAAGGGCATAACTATAAGTGTAAGGAGATAGAACGAGAATATAATTTTAGTAAAATCCTTATATATAATACGTGAAGGCGATTTCTACAAAACACTACTCCTCCGTTAATAATGGACGGATTTTTACAAACGATGTGTCAAAATTAAGTATTTGTTGTGATTACACCCCCTTTCACCAATTCCTGTAATAAAAGTCCTCGGGCTTTGCCCCACAGGCCATCAAAATCCCAATGTATTTCTTATGAAAAAATGATTTTGTTTACTTAAACAGACGAATAATTTGTATTAATTACAGCTGTTCTTAGTAAACACATGATACACACAAGAGCGTTCGTTTTCAGTTTCGATAACTGGAATGGAGTGATATTGAATACATTATCTTTGAGTTTACTCTTTTAAGTCATCGGGAATAATTATGACTGTTATTCGTTTTGAAATAACACCTGTACTTGCAATTGCTCGAATCCGAGCAACAGGTGCACTAGTAGGCCTACATTATGATTTTGTGTCAGAGAGAGCAGTTCGAAGCTCTTTGTAGAAAAGGCAGTTAATTAGAAAGAACAGTGAACTTTTAGTTCACCCTTCAGTAGTTCCATATGTCTAATTGGCTTAAACGTGATTAGGCTCTAAGAATGGATTTAATCCTTAATAACTGTTACTATACGGAACAATAAGGTGAAATAAAACTCGAAAGTATATCGGGCAAAGCCGACGGATAACAGCTAGTATTGATATAAATATAAGTTTAAACAAATTTTTGGTACAAATTAAGAAGGTCCTGGGTCAATGTCTTTCTGTGCCGACTACGGTAAAAGCTCTTCTCTCTAAGCAAATTTGATAAATAATATTCAAAAATCAAAATCCCGTTTTAATAATCAAAACCGTGGGAAATGTGATGCAGTTTGTTAAAAGAAATACTTTTAACGTACGAGGCCTACCTGTGCACATGGGTGGGTGCCTTATTCAGCAAGGTATAGTATTGACGCACAAACTCTCTTCCCACGCACTGGGGACTAGGAGAAACCTCCATGACCATTGCAGCTCTGGCTCCTGAATATCAAATTCTTCTTCTTAATACCTAGTGGTTCATTAAGAGATGAGACCCTGCAATATATTTGTTTATTACAAATCAACATTTACTTAGGTAGTATTTAATTGTAGACTGCACCATACCTGTTAAATAATGTAATAAAAAACGGGGAAGGAACATATGTCCTTGCCTCATCCGTGTCAAAACAATTCAAGTTTGAAAAAAATTTATTTTATTTAGCCTATATGGATATAAGTTGATTACATTCCAAATATGTGGTTGCTAACCAATGCTTAACTTTATTATTACTAATCCCTACACACTTTAAAAAAAAATCATCACACTCTTGTGTACATATAATATAGGCTAAAATAATGGTTAATGATAAGCTTTGACACATGCAGTTTTGCGACATTTGTCGACAGATGACACGCTGCAACACCAACATAATAAAACTTTGCTGGTACAGTAGACTCCCTCTCATCCGGACATCGGTTTAACCGGAATACAGTCGGCGAAAATGACATCTCTTATCCAGACATATATTATCGGCACATTGGTTTAACCGGACTAGATCGGCAGGAAGTGGGCTGTAACGACTGTTCTCGTGGGAAAGATTTGAGACCAGTGATCACATGTCTAAATGCAATGCTCTCCTAAATTTAAGTTGAATATCACCGTAAACGGCCCATTTTAATGAGTTTTTGGGGACGTCGGCTTAACCGGAAAAACCGTTATCCGGATTGGCCTCGGTCCCGAGGAGTCCGGATAAGAGGGAGTCTACTGTAAGTAGTTTAGGAAAAAAATCCCTTGACACTTTTCAAAATCATCACTCTCCTTTGTAAAGATAATATAGGCGACGCATGCTGCGCCACTATTTTAAAACTTTGCTTTTAACTTAACCTATATCATCAATTTGCCAAACTTAGCTCAGTTTGAAAACGTATAACCTAGGCCTATATCTACAAATTGTACATAGCTAAACATAGAGCCTGAGCTTAGCCTCCTCTTAGAGAAGGCCACAACATATGCCTAAGATAGTTGAGTAACTAAGCCACGTAGGCTAGGTCTAGATGAACTAAGGGATAAACGTTTGCCGGGTTGATCCTTGTTGGTGAGTACCAAAAAGGAAACTTAGGTAGGCTATAAAAAATGGTTGTAAATCCAAGTTTGGTTGTACTCGAATTAATTGCACTATTTTATTGACACTGATAGGCTAGGCTGCCCTATAAGTTAATCGGGAGTTTATTTAATATCTAGTACTAAACTTATAGCCATCTTAAGGCATACATCTAAAATCACCGAGAAGTAATATAAACACTCATCCTATGTAGGCCTAAAGCTACCCATATTTTATTTGGGTTAGGATTAGTACTTTTTGAGAGTGTCATTATGTACTGAACACACCTAGATATAGGGTATTAGTGATTCATGAAATTATCAATTTATAAAAAGCAACCTAACCGAGTTAACTAGTGATGTAAAATACCCGGGTATTTAAAACTCGGGGTAAATACCCTGGGTATTTACCCGGGTAAATACCCAAAATCCATAAATACCCGGGTATTTTGGGTATTTATGAAATCGATTGAAATTCATTTATATTTACCCCTAAATATGTTATTGTTATTATTACATGATAAATTAGGATTGTCTATAACACCTTTTACAGTAACTTTAAGCTTTGCTAGTACCTTTTATTTAATGATTCATCACTTTTTTTAAAATATTACATTTAAAGTTTCTAAATAAGCATTTAGTTTTGTGTCTTAAATCGAGTAACATTTTTTTAACTTGCTAAAAGATAGTATATTAAAAAAGGCTGTGACTATTTCAATTGTTATCATTTTATAAATTTATAACCAATTAAATAACATTTAAACAAAATTATTTTAATTTATACATATCCAGGAATTGTTGGGTACCTATTTATGATGCAATAAAAACAGTTGAACTTGCCATGAATAGTTTTATTAACAATACATTATTGCGTAGGCCTATAACATTTTAGAATACTCCAAATTCCTAAGGCCTGATTGACATAGGCAGAATACTAAAAGTAATTATAATTAAACTTTTCTGTGTTACCGCTTGGTTGGAAACAATAATATATTTGGATAAACCTACTAAAAAAATGTATCTCCTGTTTTTTGGCCTAACTTAATATAATTCTGAAAGATTTATTGTGCTACAGATTTAAATGTTTTGTATCACAAGTTTATGAAATTAGTTTTTTTATTTTGATACCATTGATACTAACAAAAGATCTGGAACAAAAATATGATTAAATCCTGCCATACTACTGATTGATTTTTAATTATTTTCTTCTTAAAAGTTGTTAACACATAGGCCACTACTAGGTTAAATTTTCCTGTCTTTCTAAATAATAATTATTACTTTACAAATTATTTTTCTTCGCTTTCAATAAAATAAATTCATCTCTCTATCATAGAAATTAAAAAATCATAAGTAGTCAGGGCCAGTGCAACCATGCGACCAGGGTATTTATGCCGATTATGCTTTATGCTGAGACCTGGGTATTTATGGCGATAATACCCATAAGTAAAATGCTAGTAGTGTCCATATGAAATGTTGTTTAACACATTTTATTATCATTTTACTATCCTTACAGGGTAATAATTGCAAAAAAACATCTCAATCTTTTCTAACTTTAATACAAATTATAAGTACCCAGTTTTTGGGTATTTACCCGGGCCTGGGGTAAATACCCGGGTAAATACCCAATTTATATTTACCTACCCACTGGGTATTTACCCGGCCCACATCACTAGAGTTAACTAATGATGTACCCAGTTATTAATATAAAAATAAGGCTTAGGCCTATGGATATTAGTTTTAAAACGGAGCAGAATAAGGCACTAATAATCTAGATTAGGCATTGATTAGTGTTTATAAACTCAACATGGATAAACAACCAAGTCAAGCTACTAACCCAGTTGTTCAGGCTAGGCTAACCCATAACTGGAGCAAAGTCGAGTCTCTTTCTCTCTGTCTCAAGTTGACAAAATTGTAGGTCTTAAAACGTAAACAAAATGACAAGAATGGCAGAATGTTTTCCTATAAGGCCCATGTAAAATTTTCAAAAGTTTGAACTGTACTCATATTATGGTGAAAATAGATTTTTCCTAGTTACACTAATGGTCTAGAACTTATTTTTGACACAGAACTTAGTTATTCCATAAATATAAAAGTTTTTGTGTTTGCCGATTCCCAGATCGAAGTAACAAGTATTTAAACTTTACTCGTATTATATATATGGTAAACCTTTGCCAATGTTTAATACCTCCACCGCAGCAAACCTGCCGACTAAGCGAATTTCCATTTGTCTGAATAGATTTTCAATTAAATCTATTTAAATAACATGAGTTATTCAACATAGGTTTGCTACTACAAGGACTAATAGTGTATTTTTTTAAATATTAATAGCTTAGAATTAAATAAATAAATTTGCCAAGTTTTATCAGAATATATATATAAACAAGCAAACTAAAACATTTTACAATATTCTCCATAAGAATAACATGGGAATTTTAAGTTTACAATTTGTATTCTCTGTTACCAATAACCGTACAAAAACACTATGATAGCCTATACTAAATTATTTGGTTTTTAAGGTTTTTAAAAAGGTCTAGAGAGAAATCGGCAAATTTTGTGTTTTGAGGGTAAAAAGTGAGAAAAACAATTTTTTACCCGGTCCCGTAAAACCCCGTTCCCATGGCCCAATCATGCTAGTTTGCAAACTCATTCAAGTTTATCCCGTCTTACACCTTTAAACCAAATTTAATCAAAATCGGAAAAAAATTACCCAAGTTATCGCGTTCACGGACGTATATACATACATACATATGTAAAAATTTGAACGAATGGTGTTTTTGACCTCTGGGGACACCAAAATGAAAAACTAAATCGGTCCCGGGCCTATGTCTTACCGTGCCACCTACGGTAATAGCTACTTCCCTATAGGGAAACATGAAGGAGAGTGAGCGCAGCGAACGACAGGATCCTCTTCACCCAGGACCTGATTGAGCAATGTTTAGAGCTCATCTTGTTTAAAAATAAATGTAATTTTATTAGTTAAGACTTGGCCAATGCAAAATGTTTGTTAATATTTTTGACAAAATCTCAAGTGGGGGTTGAAGACGAAATTAGTTAGACATAGGCCTAGTGGACAATAACGACCAAGACAATCATGAGGGGTCGGATTTTATTGATATTGATTTAAGCCCTAACGTTAGAAAGTAACGATGATGATGATCTAGTAGCAAGGTAAGATGAAAGGACTTATATGAAGAGATAGGGCAGGGAGATTTTGATGATCTACAGGTAACAGTAAGTGAACAATTAGTAAATGCATGTGATGATGAAGGTGATATATTACCAGGGCAAGAAGAAAGTAGGCTACTATGAAGAGATAGGGCAGGGGGATTTTGATGATCGGCAGGTAACAGTAAGTGAACAATTAGGATATGTATACAACGATTATGAGGAAGAAGCAATGAATGTAGTAGAAGAGGAGGGGATTGGTGACAATAGTAGGCCTAGGCTCTCTGCTCCTAGGGGAAGAGGAAGGTGTAGGGGCAGGGCAAACCGAGGTGCTGGTATGCCTAGGGGTATCATCAAAAGAAACCTAGGTGGAAGTAGGAGTGTGACAACAGTGAAAGATATATTTTATATAAACATTTCTGGAATAAACCCTATTTCTAGTTGTAGACTCAGAAACAACCCTACGGCACTAAAATGCCTAAATGAGTTTCTAGGTGAGGAGTACAGTGTATGATAGCACTAGAAACAAATGATTATGATACCAAAATACTATCAGAACCAAATCGAAAGAAAAAAAACATTTGAGGAAGCATGGAAACCTGATAACACTCATGAAATAAAGAGCATACAGTAGAGAGTCAAAAATCCGAAACAATTGGAATCGTAGGTAGTTCAGATTACCGATCTGTTCGGATTTTCAAACATAACCTAGAAATGCCTAATAGACACATAATTAGGCATAGAGTATTAAAAATGCAGTTCTAGGATACAGTGAATGAAATAAAAATAA